TGTAAAAGTAGTAGGTACTCTTAGGGACCATAGCTAGGAAAGCCCGAGCTAGGCAAGAAACAGTTTAGGCAAAAGAGGTTTTTCACTAGCAGGAATGAGGATACAAATAGCAAACCCTGGAAGGGTTGTACTCGCTATAGAGCACCCCACTACAGGCTAGAGCATAACATTCTGACAGACGTTGCCGATCACAAACATCAAGGTTAAGATTTCATCTTGGGGCAAGATTTCCTGAAGCGGTTCAACCCCGAGATCGACTGGGTCAACAGGAAGGCGTACATCTACAACAATGGGAAACGAGTGGAGCTGAGAAGGTGGACGGATACAGGGAGCGTTCCTGAAACGACACTGGCACGGTTCGAACGGACTGTAAACAAGAGTAACACGGGATACTTAGCACTGGTTATGGCAGCAGCAAAGGAGGAGAAGCCGACTTCGGAGCTACCTGCAGCAGTAAAGGAGGTGTTGGCGCACTACAAGGATATAATGCCTGACGACCTACCCGCAGGCGTACCTCCAGCACGCACCCACGAGCACGAGATCGTGGAGAAACCAGGTGCGAAACCCGTCTTACGTGCACCATACCGACTGAGTCCAACCGAGCTCACAGACATGAAGAAACAGACAGAGTATCTTCTGGACAGACAACTGATCCGCCCATCCACCTCTCCCTACGGTGCACCAGTCCTCTTCACTCCAAAACCAGACGGCAGTTTACGGATGTGCATCGACTACCGCGCACTGAGCAAACAGACAGAATAAATACCTCATACCGCGCATAGACGACCTATTGGACCAACTGCGTGGTGCAACAATCTTTTCGAAGTTGGACCTACGGTCGGGTTACTGGCAGATCAAGATGGCGGACAACTCGATCCACAAGACGGCGTTCCGTACCAGATACGAGTCCTACGAATACTTGGTGATGTCGTTCGGACTCTGCTACGCACCAGCGACGTTCTAGGCGGAAATGAACCACATCCTGCGGCCCCTGCTGGACGAGTGCGTAGTAGTGTACCTGGACGATATCCTCATCTACTCCAAGAACATGAAGGAGCACGTGGAGCATCTGCGGAAAGTCTTCGAGATCATGCGGAAGAACAAGTTCTACATGAAGCTGTCGAAGAGCGACTTCGCCCTGAAGAAGGTGCAGTTTCTCGGGCACATGGTGAGTGCCGAGGGCGTATACGTGGATCCGTGGAAGATCAAAGACGTCAAGAAGTGGAAAGTACCGGAGAACGTTAAGGAGTTCCAGCAGTTTGTAGGCTTCGCCAACTACTACAACAGGTTCGTGCCACAGTACGCTAAGATTGCAGCACCACTGACCGACCTACTGAAAAAGGATACGCCCTTCAAATGGGATACCCCTCATCAGCAAGCCATGGAACAGCTACAGACAGCACTGACCACATCCCCACTACTCATCCTACCGGACCCAGACAAGGACTACGTGGTGGAAGCAGACGCTAGTGACCAGGCAGTCGGAGCAGTACTGATGCAAGATCACGGGAACGCGGAACGGTTTACAGCCTATCGCCTACCTCAGTAAGAAGCTACACGGAGCAGAACTGAATTACCCCATCCACGACAAGGAAGCCTAAGCGATAGTCATAGCATTCAAGGCGTGAAGGTGTTACCTAGAGGGAGCCAAGACTACAGTCTATACTGACCACTGCACTCTCAAATACCTGAAGTCGCAGCCGACGCTCTCACGACGACAGGTGCGGTGGGTGGACTTCCTGGAAACTCACTTCCACTACGACATCGTCTGCAAGCCCGGGCTACACAACAAGGCAGACGCGTTGAGCCGCCCCGGACATGTAGGAGGCATCCAGCTCGACGGGATGAACCCTCTACTCAAGGGTCTATTCCAACATGGGTACACTGTGGACACAGAGATCACTACAGCACAGACTAAGAAGCTGTTACAGTGGGAGAAAGAATTAGCGGTAAGGAAGGGTTCAGGTAAGATTTGGGTACCGAATTACGCCCCGCTACGGCAGATCCTATTGGAGGAGTTTCACGACGTACCTTACGCGGGACATTTCGGGAGCAACAAGACATTAGCAGGGATAGCGAAGTATGAATACTGGCCCAGGATGGCAGCAGACGTGGAGCAGTTCATCACCTCTTGCAACACGTGCCAGCAGATGAAGAGCAGCAAGCAGAAAAAGACAGGGTTACTTCAGCCTCTACCCGTACCGGAGCAGCCATGGCAAGTCGTTAGCCTCGACTTCATCACGGGACTTCCTTCGACCTCACGAGGGCATGACGCTATACTCGTAGTGATTGACAAGTTCTCCAAAATGGGTCACTTTATCCCAACCAACGCCACGGCTACAGCTGAAGCAACTGTTCGCCTCTTCTTCGACCGCATCATCACCATCCACGGCATCCCCGCTACACTCATCTCAGACAGAGACCCAAAATTCACCAGTAAGTTCTGGAAGGAGCTCATGGGACTGTTGGGGACAAAGCTTGCAATGTCTTCAGCATACCACCCCCAGACTGACGGACAGAAAGAGCGACTCAATCAGGTGGTTTAACAGTTATTGCGCACAGCTTGCAAGGACGACGTCAGCCACTGGGACACACAGTTACCGACCCTAGAGTTCGCTTACAACAACGCATCATATGCGGCCACAGGGAAAACTCCTTTCTCCCTGTGTTACGGACGGGAACCACTCACACCACACCAGCCAACCACACCGGCACACGTCCAAGCCGCACATGACTTCGTCACCACCATGCAGCAGCTATGGGAGAAGACTCAGCGACGTCTCACCACGATGCAGAACTCCGAGAAGTAGTACGCCGATCGTCAGCTACGTGATCACTTAGTAGCAGTCGGAGATCAGGTGCTTCTTGACACGCGCAACTTGAACCTATCTCAACTCCCATCCAAACTCCAGCCTCGCTTCTCGTTGAGGCACAGGTGACACCAGTTACATTCCGCTTGTGCTTACCAGACACATGGAAGCTTCACAACGCTTTCCATGTCCAGCTACTGAAACCCTACAAGGACCCCAACCAACAATTCCAGAGACTGCAGCTACCGCCACTACCACCTGTTCTCATACAGGATGAACCAGAGTACGAAGTGGAGCGCGTTCTCACTCATCGGCGCCGCGGCGGCAAGACCCTCGAGTTCCGGATACGCTGGAAGGATACGACCCCACTAAGGACAGTTGGGTTGCAGAAGCTGATATGGGCAACGCACGCCGTGCTCTCAAGGACTATCTTGTCAAGCATGGTGTTCTCACGCCACCCAACTTTGAGGGGGGGACGGGTGAGAGTACGACGACTTGTGCTAGCTATGCTTGCTTGCCTTTATTTTATTATGCTATTTCTAGCATATGATAATTTTATGCATGCATGAATTGCTTGATTTCCTAGGCTAGGTGCTTTCCTATATTTTATTATAGTTTTAGCACCGAGCTAGGTTGCGTGCACCAAATTCTGGCTTTTGGGTTGCCACCAAATTGCCTTCTACCGAATACGGGAAGGATCTGTTCGGGACGTTTTGCGGCCCGCGGAACCTTCGCGTAACACCTGGTTACTGGGCCTTGTGTCGAGCCTATATATAGCCTCGTGTTGTACCCAGGTCATCATTCAATTCAATTACAATTCTCTTTTCTGAGTGGAGAAAGGAGGCACGACTGCCACGAGTGCCCTCAGTGGCCAGAAGCCACTGAATTCGGCGGTATGACTCTTCGCGATTGAATTTTGCGTCAGCCGTTTTCCCTCCAAAATCGCATCTGCTTCAACTGTCAGCTCAAACTCGAATCTTATCAATGGTCTGTCAAACTTATATGCTATAGTCTTTTTAGGCTGTAGTGGGGTAGCTCATATGGGGTACAACACTTTAGGGTTTCCTACTTGTACTCCTCATGCTGCTCAATGCAATCATTCCTTCCTCAATTCTCACATGGTATCAGAGAAGGTTCCCTAGTGGGAACGCTTCCTAAGGGCCCACCACTAAATGTTTTTCTGCCTGCAGCGCGCTTCTCTCCTGCCCGAGTCGCGCCCCGTGTGCCCTCCCTCCCGTCGCGTCCCTAGCCCTTAGCGGCCCGTCGCGCCTTCCTCAGGCCCCTAGCGGCCCCTTTCGCGGCCCCTCACGGCCCCATCGTCGCGCTTCTAGGCCCGTCGCTGCCCCTTAGCGGCCCCGTCGCCGCCCCTGGAGGCCCCGTCGCCGCCCTTCGCGGCCACCTCGCCGCCCTTAGCGGCCCCGTCGCCGCCCTGCCGGCCCCGTCGCCGCCCAACCGGCCCCGTCGCCGCCCTACCGGCCCCGTCGCCGCCCTACTGGCCCCGTCGCCGCCCTACCGGCCCCGTCGCCAACCCTAGTGGCCCCGTCGCCGCCCTACCGGCCCCGTTGTCGACCTAAGCGGCCCCGTTGCCGACCCTAGCTGCCCCGTCGCCCCCCTACCGGCCCCGTCGCCGCCCTAAGCGGCCCCGTCGCCGACCCTACCGGCCCCGTCGCCGACCCTACCGGCCCCGTCGCCGCCCTGCCGGCCCCGTCGCCGACCCTAGCGGCCTCGTCGCCGCCCTAAGCGGCCCCGTCGCCGACCCTAGCGGCCCCGACGCCGCCCTTCGCGGCCCCGTAGCCGCCCCTAGCGGCCCCGTAGCCGCCCCTAGCGGCCCCGTCGCCGCTCTTCATGGCCCCGTCGCCGTCTCTACCGGCCCCTTCAACGCCGCCTGCAGCCCAGCAGCCGCGGCGCCCGACAACCGAGCCGCCGAGCCGCCCAGCACCCGAGCCGCCGAGCCGCCCAGCAGCCGAGTCGCCGAGCCGCCGAGCCGCCCTGCAGCCGAGCCGCCGTGTCGCCCAGCACCCAAGCCGCCGGGCCGCCCCGCAGCCGAGCCGCCAATCCGCCCTGCCGCCGAGCCACCACTGTTCCTTCCGGCGCGCCCCGGCCCTACTTCCTTGGACTGGTGAGCTCACTCCTTGCTAGACCACTGCAGTCATACTGAGGGTCGTGCTGTTGACTTTGAGGTCTGGGTCGATGACCTCTAGCTGTTCTTACAGTGCGATAGGGCAGACGGACTCTCACTGTTCGATCTCACCTCTGGTGTCTCTCCTGCCCCGCCTGCTACTGCTGACAGCACTGTTCGCTCACACTGGGCCACGCGCGATGCTGCTGCACGTCTTGCTGTGCGTCGCCACTTACCGACCACTGAGCGTGCGCACTTTAGCCAGTACAAGAGTGCTAAGACCTTGTACGACGCTGTAGTTGCACGCTACTCTTCCCCTGCCACTAGTGCGCTTAGCCGCCTCATGCTACCGTACGTGTTCCCTGACCTTGCTACCTTTCCGACAGTCGCTGACCTCATTACGCACCTTCACACTAGTGATACTTGCTACCGCGCTGCACTTCCTGCTGAGTTCTCCGCCAAGAACTCCCTCCCCCATGTACATTACCCTCTACTACGTAGTCACCCGGCTCCCTGACTCCCTTTGCTTAGTCAGGGACCACTTCCTCTCAGTTTGCCCCACCACACTCACTGTTGACCTCCTCGAGGAGCGCCTCCTAGTAGCAGAGAAGAGCATAGTCGCTGTAGGAGCCTCTCGTGGTGACCCTTGCACCCCCGTCTTTGAGGGGTGTTCTCCCTCCCCCCTCTTGCCCTCTGTTGCTTCTGCTGCTGCGGCCGACCTCGTTGGTTTCGAGTCGGTCGGCACTGCGTCTGCCCCTAGCGGGAAGCGCCGCACCGGCAAGGGCAAGGAGGGCAAGGGCGCTGGGGGGGGCAGTGGGGGCGGTGGAGGTGGTGGTGGAGGCAGTGGAGGTGGTGGGGGTGGTGGTGGGAGTGGTGGCGGGGGTGGAGGTGTCGATGGCAGCAGTGGAGGCGGAGGGGGCGGCGGTGGTGGCGGAGGGAGCAAAGGCGGCGGCGGCGGCGGTGGCGGAGGCGGCGGAGGTGGCGGAGGCGGCGGAGGTGGCGATGGAGTTGGTCGCGGCTCTACGTAGAGGAGTGGCTCCAGTGGTGGTAAGAGCCTGCAGCAGTAGCGCGGTCGTGAGACCCTGTCCCCTCAGTAGCTTCGTGAGTGGTACGTTGGGCGTCAGCGGGGTGGGGGTACTGGTCCCTGCACCTACGTCCTCCGTACAGGCGACCGCGCTGGTGAGCAGTGCGGGGGCACGCACTCCACCCATCGCTGCATTCGGCCATCTGGCGGACGCTTGGCGTCATCAGTTCACTAATGCCACTGAGATCCCTCGCTGGGGAGAGCTGTCTAGGGCGGGAGTAACTATCTTTGATCTTGACTATAATGCTATTCTTGATGCCATGTATGCTGTGTCTACTAGTGATGAGGGTGACTGTTACCTGTGTGTTTTGCCTGACCCAGGCATTGAGGCTGGTGCTCTATGTGCTGGTGAGACTTCTGCTTCAGGTGCTAGTGTGTCTGCTGCCCCAGGTGCTGGTGAGTCTGCTCTCTAAGGTACCACGTTGGCTCAGGCCTTGCACACCTTCACCCTTGACTCAGGTGCTTCCCGCTCCTTCTTTCGAGACCGCACCACGCTTACGCCGCTTAGTCGGCCGGTTGCGGTCTCCCTGGCGGACCCCTCTGGGGGTCCTGTCCTTGCTAGCTTCTCCACTGTCTTACTGTGTCCTTTGCCCGTCTGGAAGCCTTCTGTTGTGCACAGGGCATCCGCCAGACCTTCACGCTTACGGCCTCTCCACAGCAAAATGGGATTGCTGAGCGCCGCATTGGCACGGTCATGGACATCGCTTGTACGTCCATGATCCATGCAGCTGCTCCCCATTTTCTGTGGCCGTTTGTGGTTCAGTACGCGGCGCATCAGCTCAAACTTCAGCCCCGGGTCTCCTTGCCAGAGACCTCCCCCACCTTGCAGTGGACGAGGAAGGTTGGTGATGCATCTGCGTTTCGGGTCTGGGGATCTCGAGCGTTTGTCCGCGTCTTGTTAGCGCTGCGGTGGCGGCGGAGGCGGGGGTGGCGGCGGTGGAGGTGGTCGGAGTGGCTCGTCCCAGCGGAGCAGCACTGGGGGTGGTCAGCGCCAGCAGCAGCAGCAGCGCTCTCGCGACGTCCCCGCCCCTCAGCAGCTCCTTGAGTGGTACTCGCAGCGTCAACGTGGTGGGGCGTTCGGTCCCTGCACCTACGTCCTTCGCACCGGCGACCGCGCGGGTGAGCAGTGTGGGGGCACCCACACCGCCCGCCGCTGCTTTGCCCGCCTCACCGACGCTTGGCGCCAGCAGTTTCCGGAGGCCTCTGAGATCCCCCGCTGAGGAGAGCTGTCTAGGGCTGGTGTAGCTATCTTTGATCTTGACTTTGATGCTATCCTTGCTGCCATGTATGCTGTGACGGTTAGTGATGAAGGTGACTGTTACCGGTGTTTCCCGCCCGACCCGGGCATTGGTACTGCTGTGTTAGGTGCCAATGAGGCTGCTGCTCTAGGTGCCAGTGCGTCTGTGCTCTCAGGTACTAGTGAGTCTGCACTCTCAGGTACTACGTCGGCTTCGGCCTCTCACACCTTCACCCTTGACTCTGGGGCGTCTCGCTCCTTCTTTCGGGACCGCACCACTCTCACGCCGCTTAGTCGGCCGGTTGCGGTGTCCCTGGCTGACCCCTCTGGGGGTCCTGTCCTGTCTCGTTTCTCCACAGTCCTCCCGTGTCCGGCGGCTCCCTCTGGCACCCTCTCTGGTCTCTACCTCCCCTCGTTCTCTACGAACCTGGTGAGTGGTGCTGACCTACAGGATGTGGGTGTCCACCAGTTCACTCCTGCTCGTCAGCGGGTGACACACTGCACAGAGGCCAGCACAGGTCGCCACCTGGCTACGTTTACACGTCAGCCAGGGTCGAGCCTGTACACACTGACCACTGCTTCTCCTCCAGGTACTGAGTCGGGTAGAGTCCCTTCGTCTGGTCAGGTGTTTGCTGCAGCGTCCAGATCTGGTCCTGAGTCTGCCCCCTGTTCGTGTCGCCGTCTGTCTCACGAGACCCTCCTCTGGCACCACCGCCTTGGCCACCCCTCTCTGCTTCGGCTCAGAGGCATGGCCTCCCGTCTTCTTGTGTCTGGTCTCCCCCGGTCCCTCCCTCCCCTTCCTCAGGGCCCTGGCCCTGCCTGTGTCCCCTGTGTCGAGGGGCGCCAGCGTGCTGCCCCTCACTCCTCCCAGTTTCCTCCGACAGAGGCTCCGTTGCAGACACTTCACATGGACGTGTGGGGCCCTGCCCGCGTCCGTGGACTAGGTCACGAGCGCTACTTCCTTTTGGTGGTTGACGACTACTCGCGTTACACCACGGTCTTCCCCTTGCGCAGCAAGGGTGATGTCACTAAGGTGCTGATCGACTGGATCCGCGCAGCTCGTCTTCAGCTCAGGCAGAGCTTTAGCTCGGACTTTCCTGTGTTGCGTCTGCACTCGGACAGAGGCGCAGAGTTCTCCTCTGGCCTTCTGCGTGCCTACTGTCGTGCGCGAGGCATCCGTCAGACCTTCACGCTTCCGGACTCACCGCAGCAAAATGGGATTGCAGAGCGCCGCATTGGCATGGTCATGGACGTCGCTCGTACGTCTATGATGCATGCGGCTGCCCCCCATTTTCTGTGGCCGTTTGCGGTCAGGTACGCGGCGCATCAGATCAACCTCCACCCCAGGGTCTCCAAGCCGGAGACCTCCCCAGCCCTGCTGTGGACGGGGAAGGTTGGCGATGCGTCGGCGTTCCGGGTCTGGGGATCTCGGGCGTTTGTCCGCGACTTGTCTGCGAACAAGTTGTCCCCTCGCGCTGCTCCCTGCCTCTTCCTGGGGTTCCCCCATGACGCCCCTGGGTGGCAGTTCTACCACCCCACCTCTCACCGTGTTCTGTCCTCCCAGGACGTCACGTTCGACGAGTCGGTACCCTACTACCGCCTCTTCCCCTACCGCACTCCGTCCCTCCCCCCGCCCCCGCTCTTCTTAGTACCAGGTCCCCCCCCGGTCGACCCCCTCCCCCCTCAGGGTCCTGCCCCTTCAGGTGTGTCCCAGGTAGACGCGGTCGAGCCTGTCGAGGTCACTGGTGACTCTGGTGCTGCTGCGGGTGCTGGGCCTGGGGGTGTTGAGACTGGAGGTGCTACGCCTGGAGGTGCTTTGCCTGGGGGTGCTGAGACTGGGGGTGCTGAGCCTGGGGGTGCTGAGCCTGGGGGTGCTGAGCCTAGGGATGCTGAGCATGGGGGTGCTGAGCCTGGGGGTACTGTGCCTGGGGGTGCTGAGCCTGGGGGTGCTGAGCCTGGAGGTACTACGCCTGGAGGTGCTTTGCCTGGGGGTGCTGAGACTGGAGTTTCTTCGCCTGGAGGTTCTTCGGGTGCTTCATTTCGCCGGGAGCCACTCTCCCCACAAGAGCTGCGTGAGTGGTTTGCCCGGCGCTGGAGGCGTGCTGCAGGTGCTGGAGGTTCTTCGACTACTGAGGGTGCTGCTGCCGCGGGTCCCGGAGGTGCTCGTCCTGGGAGTCCTGGAGCTGCAGGGCCTGCGGGTTCGACTCGAGCTGGTGCTGCTGAGGGTGGTGACGCTGAGACTGTCACTGGCGGTCCAACTGGCGGTGCTCCTGGTCCTGCTGGAGGTTCTGGATCTGCTGGAGGTGCTACAGGGGGTTCCGATGCTGCTGGAGGTGCTGCTGGAGCGGGTGCTCCTGCTGGGGGTACTGGTGCTGTCCCTGCTGTTTCTGGCGTCGCCACGCGGCCCCGACCGTACTTCGTTCCGCTCATGCAGCAAGTTCTTGGTCTTACACTTTCTTCTGGTCCTCCTCCTTCTCCCTTAGCGGGTCCACAGCCTGTCCTGTCGCAGTCACAGCTACAGCCTGCCTCCCCTTTGCCTGCTCCTTCTCCCTACACTGGTCCGACTAGAGGTCTTACTGAGCGTCGTGAGCCTGCGTCTCGTCCTTTGTCGCCTGTTCGTACTACGCGCACTAGTGGTCGTGGTTCGCGTCAGCGTCCACCTCTTGTCCCTGGCACGCACCGGATGTCTCTGCGTCCGTCCACTGCTCCTCTACGTGCCCCTTTGCCTTCTCCTCCTGCTTCCTCTCTTCCTGCTCTTTCCGACCCGGAGTCGGACTCTCTTCGTGCTGCCAGTCCTACTGTCATGCGTCTACTTGCTACTGCTGTCACTGACCCCTCTTTCGAGTCTTGTGCTGCGTCTGCCCTTGTCACTGAGCTCGTCGACTTTGCTGCGCGCTGTCGTCTAGACTTCGCTGCTAGTCTTGTCGCTGAGTCTGAGTCTGCCTGTCCTCCCTTCGTCGAGGGTGAGTGTGCCCTTGGCACGGACGTCCTTGAGGACAGGCAGGAGGAGTTCCATTGTCTGGCCGCCGCTTCACCTCATCTCGCGTCTGTACTGCTCGCCCCTGAGGGAGACCCGGATGCACTAGACATCCCGATTCCGCGCTCTTACGCGGAGGCGATAGAGGGTCCCTACTCCTCTCAGTGGCAGGCAGCTATGGATGCAGAGATGGCTTCCTGGAAGTCCACAGGCACCTACGTTGACGCTGTTCCCCCTCCTGGGGCGAACATAGTCAGTGGCATGTGGATCTTCAGGGTGAAGCGGCCGCCGGGTTCTCCGCCTGTCTTCAAGGCGCGTTACGTGGCTCGTGGCTTCAGTCAGCGGCAGGGAGTTGACTACTTTCAGACCTTCTCCCCCACCTCGAAGATGACCACTCTTCGGGTACTGCTGCACGTTGCTGCTCACCGTGACTACGAGCTGCACTCTCTCGACTGAAGCACTGCTTTCTTGCAATGCAGCCTTCACGAGGAGATCTGGTTGCATCGCCCACCTGGCTTCACTGGGTCTTTTCCTCCTGGCACCCAGTGGAGCCTCCGGCGGCCAGTCTACGGTCTCCGCCAGGCACCGCGTGAGTGGCACGACACGCTGAGGACTACACTTGCGGCTCTTGGGTTTGCTCCCTCTACTGCCGACCCGTCGCTGTTTCTGCGCACCGACACTTCTCTGCCGCCGTTCTTCATCCTCGTATACGTCGACCACTTGGTCTTTGCCACAGCTAACACTGCTGGACTCGCCCACGTGAAGTCCGAGCTGCAGAAGAGACACACGTGCACAGACCTGGGTGAACTGCGCAGCTACCTTGGCTTGCAGATCACCCGGGACAGAGCACGGCGCACCATTACCCTGACTCAGTCACACATGGTGCAGCAGGTCCTTCAGCGCTTCGGCTTCACGTACTCCTCGCCTCAGGCCACTCCTCTGCCTACTCGCCACTCGCTCTCAGCTCTGCCTTCGGATGAGTCCGTAGAGTCGAGTGGCCCGTATGCAGAGCTTGTTGGCTGCCTCATGTACCTGATGACCTGCACACGACCTGACCTTGCATACCCTCTTAGCATTCTCGCACGCTATGTTGCTCCTGGGAGACACCGACCAGAGCACATGGCTGTAGCGAAGAGGGTGTTGCGCTACTTGTGGAGTACGTCGGGCATGGGGCTAGTGCTTGGAGGGCGCAGTCCAGT